GCAGGAATGGTTCTAATCTAGGAGATCGCAAGGTAAGAATATAAAGTGCCAGCCTTCAGAAGTCTATAATCCAGTGCCCAGAATGTTGCTCAGCACATAGTGGACATTCAGCAAAAACCTGCTGAATAAATTTAAATTACTATAGTGGATAACAAGGCTCTCCCTAAATACCCCAATAGCAAAGACTATAGAAATAATAGAACAGACTGACTGCTCAATTGATTTACTTACATAAATCAAATCAAAAATCTTTCCCCATAAGAGATTAGGCAGATGCTTATTTAAAAGCACTGACTTTTAACTGTTATTTAAACCCTATAAATCCCACACAAATATCACTTAATTGCTTAAGTCTAAACTTCTATACCACTCTTTTCCCAAATGTGATTTATAAGCACCAGGTAATTAAAAAGTCTAATGACTTATTTTCTGAAATTAAAATCTATATCCAAAACTTTTGGCATTTAGACTATCAAAACTAACTGGCTGCCTAGAAGCACTCACGACTAAAGGGACATTTCTACCAAGTTCCCTGACATACATTTATATACTGTCTCTTCAAGGAGTAAAATATTCTTCACTGTGGGTTCTTTTTAATGTTCACTTTCCTATTATAGTAGCAGCTCCCACTGACAGAGCACCTGCATATCAGTATAGATCCCATGGCCACAGACCCACCTCTGCATCCTGGAAGTGGAAGTGTAATGTCGTGAGTATCTGCAGAAAGCCATGCTCATAGTTACCCTCCTCCTCCTGTGACGTAGCTGTAGCCACCGGTGCCCAGGCCGTAGCCGTAACGCTCTCCCAGAAACACAGGTTCGCTGGCATCGTAACAGCTCAGCAGGTGCTGGAGCCTGGAGATGCTAAGGTTCCCAAGGGAATAGAAGTGATAATCACTTAATTCAAATGTATTTTCAGAGTAAATGTTTCATGTTTCTTACAGCCCACTGGTTATATTATGCAATACGATATGGAAGTCATTTAGAGATGAAATTCAAGAGACTTACAGAAGAAAGATTTTTTTAAAAAAGAAAAAAAATTGAACACCGTGCATTATTGGAAACAGGAGAGGAACTGAGAAACAAGGGCCTCCTCTCCAGTGTTACCAAGCCCCTGCCGGGCGTGGCTGCCTCGTGTGGGTGGGCAGGGCGGCAGGTGTCCTGGCTCACTTCCACCAGTCCTGCTCACCACTGAGCGTGAACTAATCATCACACCTTTTCAGGTGCACTTGGTATTTAAAAACTTCTTCGTGGCTAAAAAAGGAACTTCTGAATATAGATGAGGCCCATGTCAGGCAGGGAGCCAGCAGGTAGGGAAGAGAATGTGTGAGCAGCAAAGCTTCCCAGGAAACCTTCAGATTATGATGCACCACTGTGCTTATGCTCTCAAATGAGGCTTCCCTAATCTACGCTCTTTTGTGTCTATTTGTTTATACCTCTGGCCCCTATGCTTCTTTGTCGTGTGTCTTGCAAAGGGCCTTGAGAATATCCATGAGCTGCTCAGAAGAATGCCAGCAACTATGGCTGCTGTAAGGATGAGAAAAAAAGATTCCATAGGAAAATAAAATCTATAAATATTTTTTTTAAAGTGGAGACAAAGGTTGATGTTAAGAAAGGCTAGTTTTCCCATGTTTTAAGAACTTCTGTCACTTACAAATGCCCTGTAAAGTCCTTCTACTGTTTCTTCTAATTTAGAGCTTCTCAGGTCATACACACCAAATCCTAGCTTCCCTCATGAAAGTAATGAGCATGCCTTGAAAAAAGTTTTTCCATGGCCAACCTTGGATTAAATATTTTTTATGTGTGAAGTAAATTTCAGTGTTTCTCAAGCCTGTGACTCATGAGCTTCATGCATCTCTAAGAGCTCGATATATCAAGCATTTCTCTCAGTTATTAATCGTGAATTCTTTTCTCAAGAGCAACATTAACATCTAGAACACGGCTGCTCTGGAGTCTCATTTTTCCTGTGTCTTTGAGACGTACAGGAAGGGCCGTCTTTTCCATCTGTGCTTATGCATCTCACACCCAGCTAATAAGGCTGACGCTGAAAGAGAAGAAAACAAATTTGATGTGTGAAAAAAAATCTCTTACAAGTGCGGTGCTCAGAGTCTACAGGTTGACTGATCAGGTTTATATCTGCCTCAAGGTCAAGGGCTCTGATAATGGTGACAGTTTCTAAGTGGCCAGAAAGTGTTTGAAAACTACCCTATTTTTGACACAGAAGTTAAACATTCTAGGCTCCTAGTTTGGAATCAGTATTCAGGAAGTCAGAAAGAGAAGGACAAATACCGTATGCTAACACATATATATGGAATTTAAGAAAAAAAAATGTTATGAAGAACCTAGGGGTAAAACAGGAATAAAGACAGAGACCTACTGGAGAACAGACTTGAGGATATGGGGAGGGGGAAGGGTGAGGTGTGTTAGGGCGAGAGAGAGACATGGACATATATATACTAACAAACGTAAGGTAGATAGCCAGTGGGAAGCAGCCGCATGGCACAGGGAAACCGGCTCGGTTCTTTGTGGCTGTCTGGAGGGGTGGGATAGGGAGGGTGGGAGGGAGGGAGACAAAGAGGGAAGAGATATGGGAACATATATATATGTATAACTGACTCACTCTGTTATAAAGCAGAAACTAACACACCATTGTAAAGCAATTATACCCCAATAAAGATGTTAAAAAAAAAAAAAAAAAAAAAAGGAAGTCATCTAATAAATATACCTCTGCAGGGGAAAGCAAGGAAGGGTGTGGACACCTAGTAAATCACCATTCGGTCATGGAGAGACAAAGATCTCTAAGGAAATCGCAGCCTTTGCTTGGTAAAAAGCTCCCTAAAAACCTCAAAGCCCCTTCTAGCAAATGCGTGAAGAAATGAGAAGTATTTCCCTTCTTCCTGCATATTGTAAAATCATCAAACCATAAACCCTCAACTTCTGAGGTTAAAATAACTAGGATTTAACATCTCATCTGGGTTTCCTTTCCTGGTAACATTAACCGTTTCCATATTTGCAAGATTATATGAAAGCTGAAGCAGCATAAACTGAGTCTGACAACAACTGTTACATCACATTTGGTAAAAACTGGAAATGTGGCTAAAGCAGGCAGGTCTCCAGTTCAATCCAAGGGAACTGGCTACCGAACCAGGAAAAGAACTTCACTTAACAATCTGTTACCATGTCAGGCAACCTGAGGCACAGAAATGAATAGAAACAGTATGGAAATGTTCAAGTGCAATCAAAACTGTATTAATACATTTTAGTGTTTTATCATTCTCACTCAATTTCTCTCTCTATACACACACACACACACACACACACACACACACACACACATGTATACACATACACATATCTGTATTATGCCCCTTCCCCCCAAACACACCGATGTGTAGATTCTAAGAACAGTGAAACTCAGCCACCTCAGAAACTACCACTGACACAAGTTTCTTAAAAAGTTAACACACCTGTTATACATCCCAACCATTCTGCTCCTCAGTATTTCACCGAGATAAATGGAAGCAGATGACTATACAAAGACATGTACACAAAGGTTCACAGCAGGCTTAATTATAATCCAGAACTATGAACAGTGACACAGTGCTTGTATCTAAACTAACACCCATTTTCCAATTTTATCGACTGACCCAGTAACATTCTTTATAGCAATTTTTCCCTCCAATACAGGATGGAGCCCAGGATCCTTTACTGCATTTATTTATTATTCACTTTATTCTCCTTTAATCTGGAACAGTTCCTCAGCTTTTTGTCTTTCATGACACTGGTATTTTAAAATAATAAATGCCCCCACACCCCCTTTTTTAATAGACTGACCTTCATCTTGGGTTCGTCTGATGTCTCCTCATAATAAAGGCAAGGTTACGCATTCCCAGGTGCAGTATTATATAAGTGATGTTGTCTGGCATGTGGGGTCCACCTGTCCTCCAGTGGAAGTATCTATTTTGATTACACGGTGCTGCCTGGTGTCTCCCCTGGACACTTAGTTTTCCCTTGCCATTTCTCAGGCTCCAGGCAGACACTTTAACAACTAGCAAATATACTGGTCCTCATCAAAATTCACCCCGAGTTTAGCATCCATTAATGATTCTTGCCTGAATCCATCTTTACTATGCTGGTTACAAAGAGATGACTTTTCCAGCTGCACCATCACTCCACATTTATCAGTCAGAACCCCTCGTTAACCTGCTAGCTAGAGCCCGCCTGTTACAGACTGAATTATGCCCCCAACCAAAATATTCCTATATTGAAGCCTTAATCGGGGATGTGGCCGTATTTGGAGATGGGGTCTAAAAGGAGGTAATTAAGGTTAAATGAGGTCATAACGGTAGGACCCTGCCGTGACAGAAATAGTGTCTTTATAAGAAGAGACACCAGAGAGCGCTCTCTCCATGGCACGCAAAGAAGAGGTCACGTGAGCACACACCAGGGCGGCGGCCACCTTCACACCAGGAGAAGGTGCCTCAGAAACCTCCCATGTCAGCACCTTGATCTTGGACTTTTCCAGCCTCCAAAACTGTGAGAAATAAATTTGTGTTGTTTAAGCCACCCAGTCTGTGATACTTTGTTACGGTGCCTGATCTGCCTCATTTACTTACTTACCTATTTCTTTATCATAAGCACGAACCCCCGATTCCTAATTTTAATGGCTGATAATCCATTACCGTCCCTAATCATACTGATGCTCTTGTCCCAGATTCTGCCAAAGAGAACATTTCCAAGCTCACTTCTGTGTCCTCTTGACATGCACTTTTCTTTTTTTTCTAAGCACTTCCTTACTTTCTGGTATAAAAAAGAATGTTCCAAATATCTTCTTGTATCTTCCTTGCCTCAGCCTTAAAATCAGTGATTTCTCTGAGACTGGTGCCTTTTAATAGGAAAGTAGCAGTATCAGTTCCGGTCATTAGGTGCTCAGGGCTACGCGGGTATCTTTGCTTCTGGTCTTCTTTGGTGGGAAGGACTAGGAAGGTGTATGCGTGTGTGCGCACACACACACGCACACACTTTGGCAATCATGAGTCTCACAGAAGTTATGACTTCTTGCAGATTTCTCCACTTCCAATCTTCCAGCCCTACCTCAGGCCTCTTCCTTGACCTGGCCCGTCCCATATCCTCCCACAGTGAGCACCACGGTTCCCAACCAACACTTACTCACCTACTCAGCCCTACAGTGTACCTAAAATGCCTTCAGAGTTGCTTCACCCACACGGCGACTGAAAACTCAGGAGCTGTCTGACATGCGCCCCTCCTCCCACCCCTGACTGAAGGTGTGTCTCTGAATCCTGTCTTCAGCCGTATTTGCATTAGTTATACTTTCCCTTTAGTGTGATTATGTTTTCGTTTGAAATGCAGTTGGGTTCATTTGTTTCAGCTTTCTCCTCATCCTTGTTGATTTTTCCTGTCCTTACAGATTTATTTTATTTTTCAATAGGTAAAATATTAGCATGCTTCCCAAAGTCAAAACTAAACTAAGAGATAAACTCAGCAAAGGGTCACACACACCCCCGACTCCATCTACCCGATCCTCCCATCCAGCCCTGTTTGGAAACTGCTTCATGGTCTTCTGGCTTATCTGTCCATTTGTCTTTTGCACAGGTAAGTCTACATGGGTACGTTTTATTTCCCCTTCTTTCTTCCATCCAGGGAAGCAAACTAAATACATTCTTGTGCACTTGGCTTTTTCCATGTAATGGTATCTTCCGGAAATCACTCAATACAATTTGATTTCTTTTTTTTTTTTAAAGGAACCAAAATTTTGGTTCATTAGTTTGATCCTCTGCTTTTTTGACCTCTACCTCATTATTTCTGCATTTATCTTATTATTTTCTTCCTTGTTTTGGGGGGGTTGACTTTGTGATTCTTTTCCTAACTTGTTGAGTTGGGAATTGAATTTTTTTATCTTTATTGTTCCCATTGGCTTGGCAAACCTTATCCATCCCTTTATTGTTAGACTTTTTGAATGATTTTGTATCTTTCATATAAAGCATAGAGTTAGGGTTTGTTTTATGAGCCACTGTGAAAAGTTTGTTCTTTTATTAGGGGATTTAAACCCACTCACATTTTGTGATATGACTGATGTTTGATTTCAACACTAAAATTATTTTAGGTTTGAATTATTATACATATTATACTATATGTACTGTGTTTCTTTATCTACTAACATTCTGGATATTAGAAAGTTTTCTTTTCCTGGTATTTATGTTCTATTTAACTTTTCATGTCTTACCATGCTTTTTTTCTTACTTGGTCTGTCAGTTTTATACATCGGTATCCTTTGAATTCCATCCATTACCTGTACAGTAGGCCATGATCTTATCCTATTGTCCTTTTTCCTTCTTTTTTTTTTTTTAAGTTGAAAACTTTCTACTTTGTCAGAACATATAACATTTAAATACTGTTATTTACCCATGTCCCTACCCGTGTTGTGCTTTTAGTGCTACAAGTTAAATACATGAAATGCTCACCATCAGTCGTTTTACCCAAATTTCATCTTAGTTGCATGAACTTCTTTCCCTAACATCAATATATTCCTTAGGAAGGGCATGTGTGTACACTATTCCCTGAGTTTATGTACTGAGAACCTTTTCTGTAGCCTCAATATTGAAGAACATCTTAACTGCGTATAAAATCCATGAGTCACAATTTCTTTGTTGAAAATGTTCCTCCACTGTTACCATATTTCTTATGTTATTTTGAGAAGTCTGACACCAGTCTGATCTTCTTGGTCTTTAGATTATTTCATCATTTTGCCTAGAGACTCAGAGGACTTTATGATCAAAATCTAACAGTTTTACTAGGAGATGTGAAGAAGCTGATGATCCCAGGTCAGTTTTCCCTGGGACCTACTAGGCCCTTTCAAGATAGAAATTAAGGTCTTCTTTTATTTCTGGTAATTTACATATTATTTCTCTTCTTTTGATTTTCGTCCATCAGGGACTCCAATTATACATGTGTTAGATTTCATTGCTTCCTCCATTTCAAACATAGACATTGTGAATTTTACTTTGTTGGGTGCTAGATGTTTTGCATAAATATTATTTCTATAAATATTCTTGAGCTTTTTTCTTGGATGCAGGCCAGTTACTTAGAAACAGTTTGGTCTTTGGGGGTCTTGCTTTAGTATTTGTTAGGCATGACCAAAGCACTGCTTAGTCTAGGGTTAGCTATTTCCCACTATTAAAGCAAGACCCTTCTACAAACTCTACCCAATACCTGTGAATCAAGGGTTTTCCAGTCTGGCTGGTGGGAAAAGGTACCATACTCAGCCCTCTGAGAGTGGTGGGCACCACTCCCTCTAATCACTCTGGTTGGTTCTTTCTCCAGCCTCCAGGAGTTTCCTCATACATATGCACTGACTAAACTCTACTGAATACTTAGGGCGCCCCTCCACAGATCTGCAGTGTTCTCTTCCTGGGCAGCTCTCTCCTTTCCAGTGCTCTGTCCTGCAAACTCTAATGGCCTTGGTCTCCCCAGACTCTCAGCATCATCACTTCAACTCAAGGCCTCAGCTGGATTCCACCTGGGTTCCCCTCCCTGAGCAGGGACGTGGAAACTCTCTATGACACTTAGCTGCGGCAGTCACAGGATTCACCTCATTTGCTTCATGTGTCTCATGGATGACTGTCGTTTGTTGCCTAATATCAGTGTCTTAAAAACACTTATTTCATATATTGTGTCCTTTTTGGGGGGTTTCAGATGGGAGAGTAAATCCAGTCCCTGTTACTCCATCTTGGTCGGCAGCCGAAGTACCCATCACCGTTTCTGACTATGAATATATGTAGAATTTAAAGCCACCCTAGGACAGGAATGACTCCTTACCTTATTAATGTGTCATCATCCACAATGACTAACCATGCTATTTTGTCATAGCTGTGATTCAAAAATCTTTCCAAAATGGCAAATGTCTTTCCACAATGACCTAGGAAAGGTGAGAAGAAAACTTACAATGCATTATTTTCCTTAAAATATATATAATTCATTTGGAAACATTATTTTAGTTTTAAAGTGTTGTAAGTAAAAGTATAAACACTGACATGCACCTTAAGAATTTGAAATTTTAAATTATCCTTTTCTAATTTCCATAGACATAGTGAACCAGGAAGAACATTAGAGATCATGAAGTCAAAGTCATTCATTTCGCACATGAGGGACTGAAGACCTAGAGAGGTGAGGGGAATTACACAAGGTCAAGTACAGGTAGAGCTAGTATCTTCACACCAGACATACAAGAAAGTTGTAAGCCTTGAAGAAATTACAGGAGCCTGGCATCTTTCCTTACATCTACTTACTCTGAAGGGAAATATTAGACCCTCAAGCATCACAACCTTAGGGAAACAATGGTGCAAAAGTACAATATTACACCTTGATTATTTATTTTGTAAATATTTGCTATTAAGTTTCTAATATGCCAGACATGGTGGCCAGTTCTCAGATGTCACTAAAGATACAGTACTGAGTAGGACAGAGGCACAGTCCCTTAGATGCCAACAGATATCGAAGCTTTAATGGAAAATGCTGGGGCCAGGGTAGCAATGAAATGCTTGGGAAGAGAACTCAAGTCGATAAAAAAGAATAAGCCCCTCTTTTCAACAAAGTATTTGGTGCCACAATAGAGAACAAACCACTTGATTTAACCTTTATTTTCCGTATTCTTGATCTCTTTATGTATTTTTAACCATGATAGTATGTAGCTTTGAAAGCCACCTCAAATTCCTTTTGGATAAAGTAGAATATAAATGTGAGCAATAATAAGGTCAGACTAAAGGTCAATTAAGAAATCAAGCAAGGAACGCAGCAACAAATAAGTGATTGTTATAGTCAAAGTCTAAAAAGCAAGATTAGCAGAAACAAAAGAAGGAAATTCAAACAAAAATCATTTTTCCAAAACAGACAGACTTAGTGATATGTTTACTAACCTTGTCAGAATAATCAATAACTACAGGAGTGACATATCTGATCTACACTGTACTTTAATTTTTTGTGGTACGCGGGCCTCTCACTGTTGTGGCCTCTCCCGTTGTGGAGCACAGGCTCCGGACACGCAGGCTCAGCGGCCATGGCTCACAGGCCCAGCCACTCCGTGGCATGTGGGATCCTCCAGGACCGGGGCACGAACCCGTGTCCCCTGCATCGGCAGGCGGACTCTCAACCACTGCGCCACCAGGGAAGCCCTGCACTGTACTTTTATCAATCAGGGCATATGAGCAACACTACCATAAAATAATCAAGATAAATTACTCTATAGAACAAGATAATCAACTCACTTTTTTCTTTTTTCATAAAAGGGTTTGGAGAAACCAGAAAACTAAAGAAAAAACATGGCAGGAACACTGGATAAAAATTAAGATGAACAGGGCTTCCCTGGTGGCGCAGTGGTTGAGAGTCCACCTGCCGATGCAGGGGATGCTGGTTCGTGCCCTGGTCCGGGAGGATCCCACATGCCGAGGAGCGGCTGGGCCCGTGAGCCATGGCCGCTGAGCCTGCGCAGAGGCCACAACAGTGAGAGCCCCCGCGACCAAAAAAAAAAAAAAAAAAAAAAACTAAGATGAACAAAGAGCATCTGAAGGTGAGGTGGCCAAATTTCTACTTCCATTTTTTTTGAAATAAAAAATGTTTTGAATTAGAAAGCCTGCAATCTGAAGAGAAAAGCAGGTATACTTCCAACAATTTATTAATTATTAATATATATGGATACACATATGAGCTTATACTACATATAGCCCATGTAGAACGTGGTTAAGTGCTCTCAGAAGTACAAGCAAAATGCGTCCTAGACCATAACAGACCATAAGCTTCAGGAGGATGGAAACTGTCAGCTTCAGTCCTGCTTCCCTCAGTATCTACCAATGGCTGGCATGCAGCAGTTGGGTAACAGTCCTGGCTGGATAAATGGCTAAAATTAAATGAGGAGATGCTTTGTATGGGAAGATGATAAATTAACTCTGGACACCCCATTATGGCCACAGTGAACTATGAAGGTACAAAGAAATCTATTATTAAACTCTATCATAACTGTCATATGCATAATTGTCATGTGCGTCAATCATATCAGTATGACCTACTGAAAACTGTAACCTTTGTTAGCACTAAAAGCAGCACTTAAACTGCAAGAGTCCGTCCACATCCATGGGTAAAGATGTGAGGGAAGGAAAGAAAGAAACTTACACGTGGCAAAAATTATGCTATTTATAAAATATTTCATTTTTATCCTAATTTACTATATTTACAGAGTGGACATTTTGCTTTTTTTTTTTGGTGGTGGGATGGTGGGTCGCCGCACGGCTTCCCGGATCTTAGCTCCCCAACTAGGGATTGAACCCGGGCCACGGCAGTGAAAGCACAGAGTCCAAACCTGGACTCTGGTGGACCGCCAGGGAATTCCCCAGAATGGACATTTTTGAATAAGAGTCGTCAGAACTAAGGACTCACCTCTCTCTGTATTAGGAATTCCCAGATCCACCGTCGGGACAGAAGTGTCTGCGTAATCGCTGTAGTATTCGATGTGACCTGCCTGCCCCGCCCAAGTCTGCTTTACGATGGGGACTGAAAAAATGAGAGAGGGGACCGTCACTGGCACAGGCATCTAGGAAGCCTGGAATCTCAAAGCGGCGGGATAACCACCTGTAAAGGAAGGGAAGCATTACTTGTTCTTCCGGGGTCTCAAGACTAAGAGCTTTGCTTTCTACCCTGAGAAATGCCAACAGCACAGGAGTAAAATCCTCTCCCTGAGGCATTTTCACATATACTCTAGAGCCGAGCACTTCTCATTGCTGGTGATAAATACACTGCCTCCATATAAGGATAAATTTTCTAGTCTGATTATACTGTTGTGTTTACATTAATTTTAACTTTAATTAATTTTTCTCTTTTCCCAATAGGCTGCTTCATTTAAAATTCACAACTGGACTTCTTAAATGCTTTTGGGGGGGGAAATATAATTACTCCTAAAGATTGGAATATTGTATGTGGTTGTAGCTGAGATGTAAACTTGCCTCCCTCACAGTGGAGGGGGGGCCTTTTCAAACTACACATATCTCTGCCCGAAGATTCTGACAGGACCACCCAACCCTATAAAGGGCATGACCCTACCCTGAGAATCACTGCATATGATGGCTGACGTTACTGAGCTGCACTTTCGGAAAATGTGGAAAAATAAGATTGAGAACCATTGCAGATTCTAAAACTCTATCATCAACAGATAAGTTATTTTAATACAGTGAACACGAACAGCAGAAAACCCTCCTGGTTTTCTGCATTTTAGGGCGAGATGCTCAAAGGTACCTGTGTCTCCACACCTGACATACAGAAATCTGCTTGATCACTGTTTGATATTAATTCACTTGACCAACTATCCCAGTAATTATTTTCGTCTGTACTTTTTTTAAGTTACTATCTGCATCTCTAAATTTTAAGAAGGGGCTTCTGCTGTTACTGTAATAGAAAAGATCATCATATCTAGATTTTATATTCTGTTGATTTAAGAATTTCAACTCTGATGAACCAAATCTTCAGTTAATATTTTGAGACTTTATCAGATCACTTATCTTTCCCTTTTTCCCAATCTAAATAAAAATAAATGATATGCAAAAACTACCCATGCAATGCCAAATTTAAGTGTCTAGCTATGTTAGTCAGCAAACTGGGAGAGAAACTCAGACAGCCCTTACATAGAAAATACAAAAGTGCACCATTTTATAGTGCCATTATTGACCAGCTTTTAAAAAAGAAAAAGACCAATGAGTTCTGGACATTTGCTATAGTCATCTCCAAATTGCGTATTTTAAGCCACTAAGTATTATTTTTATACATTAAAATGCAATTCTTCTGCAATCATAAAAAGGCAGATATAAAGATTTCTCCATACCAGAACGGACCAAGATGCAGTAAATAATAGATAAGGTCGCTGAGGGGGGAAAAAAAGAAAAGAAATCCTTACTCTGTCCAAATTCCAGCACAACAAAAATCAACCTTGGCCCTGCAGTGCAGTTTGCTTTGCATGTAATAAGCAGGACTTACCCAGACAAGGCTCCCCCCAGCCTGCAGCCGCTAGTGGTCGCACTCTTGGGTAAAATGTCCTCCACTGCATAACGGGAAGCAGCTGTGAGGAAAGGCCAAGAATTTCCCTGGGTCCCAGCACCGGGGGGTCCTGCAAATTCTGCTTGCACTTGCCTCAGCCTTTAGCCTTCAGATTCTGTCTGCTCTAAGAGCTTTAATAAACAGGACAGGCATTTCTTCTCAATTCTCTAATGTGAATGAAGTTAAAATCAAGTGTGAGTTAGCTCTTCACTACACCTAACTACTTGCTTCCAGTTTTCGTTTGAAACAGATGAAACAGAAATGTCACTAAAGGTAAGAATTACTGTTAGACTCAGTGCCCAACACCTCGCACAGGGCTGGGGACATAGTAGGTGCTCAATAAATAGCAGACTGAGGACTGGGTCTTGTCAGAATTCCAACAAAAGGCCAAGGGCTCTTTTTGGAACTAGTTTAAAGGAAGGTTTTATTCTTATCAACGATGCATCCTTTGGTACAAGACTGGTATCACCATTACCAATCATGTGAAAACAGACAAACCATTTCAACACAGTAACGTGTTCTGAGACTCTAACACCAAAAGCATCCAGCAGTGTATCATCTGTCCCCTTATCACTGTAACACCTGTGCATTTGTAAAGTAAGGCTGTCTCCTACAACAGCAGGTGAAGACTATTTGCAACCAGAGTTGATTCAAAATTACTTAAAACTTTAAAAATACTGGTCTATTTTATTGTCACTGTTTGAATCCTAAATTGAATTCATTCTATTATTTATAATATATTTCATATTGTATTGAGGCACTAGATTCCTAAAGATATTAAACTTGGAGAAAATACTTCAATATAGTTATGTGATCTACTCTCTCATTTTCAATACAGAGACGCATACTTTCTCCCACATAATAAAATAGTGAATGCCTCTTTCCAGAATGTTTGCCACAAGATAATTTAAAATTGGGGCAAAGTAAAAACTGTACTATTTAAAAAAACCCTCTGCCCAGATGGCATTAAGTCTTCCACATGGCTTTAAAGCCTGGAAGCAGGAGATGCATCTCCCTACGAGACACAGAACACACTTTTACTCCCAGTGAACTGACGTGCAAAACTGACTACAAGTGAAAATCAACTGACACTTGAGCCCTGTACAAAATCTACCACCCAATCAATTGTGCATGATCATTTTGATTTAAGGAGTCTTCTGTTTTCAATTAACAAACAGACCTTTTGTCTCAGTATGACCACAAAGTAAAGCCCTGGTTTCTCTTCTCTTCTCAGGGAGAGACTTAGCGACAGCACCAAGCGTGTGCTCTGATTCCTGGGTTTAGAGGTGAGGCATCTGGAAGACGGAAGAGCCCCCCTCCTGGCTGACCTAACACAGCAGTTCAGGGCAGTCTGGCCCGTCTTCATCTGCGCAGCAGCCAGGGGAGAACCAAACTCTCCTTAATAATTCATGCACTCACTTCATCTAACACGGGGTGTGGCCTGCTAGCTGGCTGCGTTTTCATTCAAACCCTCATGTTTTCAATGAGCAGACTGCGCCATGGTACCTACCAGAGGGAACATGGCTACCACACAGCTTCCCTCTAGGTCTGTGTTCAGACCTAGAGGGAAGATCACTACAGTGAAGATAGCAAACAGGGTTTTTTTAATTCTGAAAGGAATAAAGTGTTTATTTTTAGGAGCTCAGGAAGCTGTGAAAAGGAACTAAAGGCTGAGCAAATGGCAATTTAACCTTTTTAATGAGAGGGAGACCGCAGGAGAAGAAACACCTCAACCCACCGCGAACAGAAACGGTGGCTGCCACGTGGTATTTGAGACCTGCGTGGGAACTGTGTGGCAGGAGGACACACAGAAAATTCGTTAACATTCACTGACAGCTCATGTCACACAAGGAAAAACACATAACCCAAGAGGAAGTGATCAGGCGGAACGTTCAACTCCAGAGATCTCTTCCTTGCTTAAACATAACTTCACATGCTGTGGCAGTTCATCACTTTATGTAATACCTTCAAAGTTTCTTTAAAACCCTACCAACTGCTTGCATGTCAGCCAGCACTGCTGTTCCAATGCTGTCAATATGTATTTCTTTCTTAAGCCAAAAGATAGAGTATATTTTTGCTGTGTCCTAAGTTGCTTTATTTCATCTAAATCAGAATCAAGACACAAGCAGTTATTGAAACGCTTGTTTCACTGTTGGGCAAAAAAAAAAATTACAAGATGTAAAATCATTTTTTCTAACTTTGGAACTTGGCTTTATTATCAATTTTTCCAAAAGAGTATGAAAAATGAGTTCACTTTTATATGTTCCCTTGCCTTGACTACAGCCTTAAACAGAATGTTCCATCACTCACCCTCGTCCCTGGAGGAGCCAGGAGTAGGGGCCATGCCTAGGGTCCACCTACGCTCGGAACCCAGGGCAGCGCACAGTGACAGCCTGCCTCTGGAGAAGTCACTGACTGTGTAGCCAGCTCTCAACTGCTCACAGATAAATACAGTCTTGTCTGTGTTTATTTTTTCCTTCACTGTCATTTGGGTTTTGTAGCTTCAAGTGTTTCTACCAGAGTGCATACAGAAAGAAAAAAGAAAACAAACCCCCCCCAGTCCGTGTATTCTGCTTGACTAAAGCAGTAATATGCGAGGACAAGATGGGAATCTGAATTGCCAGCTCAATGTATATTTAAAATCATCTGCGGGTTTGAATTCCTGGCGATCCCCTCCTGCTATTGAAAATAAAAAGCTGCCTGCCACAGCTTCTGGCCATGTCAAAACTGACCCTCAGCACAGCAGAGCATCAACACAGCTATCAAATACTATTTATCAAGCATTAGATTTATAATACATCCACAGAGAGTGCAGCACAGCTCTCTGTGGCAGAAAGAATTGGGGATTTGGAGCCAGAAACCCTGAGCCCCAGCTCCCCTGCTCAGTCTACAAGATGCCAAGCTATTTGTATCTCAACCCAAAGGCACCTTTCTCTATGATACCAAGTGAATAAAAATAATGACCACATCGCAAGGACTGTCAACATGAAATCAGATGATAGAATACATGTGAAAAACACACCAGAAAATGTAAAAAAAGATTAGCAGTCAGAAGCAGCTACTGTGGCGTTCTCACTGAAACTAAAACGATTACTGGATAATTCTTTGGGCCAACTGGTGACTGGACTAGATTTCCAAAACGAGGAGCAGAGCCCACTGGCCTGGGCAGGTTTCACTTCCATCAAGCAAAATGGACCTCAGAGCCCCTAAAATCCTGCTGCCTAGACTATCTTTTCAAACAAACAGGTCCAAGTTTAAAAATGGCTTGCCACAGCAACTCGGCTGTGACATCCGCAAAATACCTCTTAGGTCTCAGGCTGCAGTGACCCTAGATCCAAATTAAGAGCTGGTTTTGGGAAGCTTGGTTTTAATGCTCCTAACAGGCTTCGAAGATTTTATCATTTTTAAAGAACTTCGACTCAGAATTCAAATATAAAAGCATTTGATAGATATCTGAAAGGATTATC